AATGAATGCTAGGAGCAAACAAACAAACAAAAATGTTCAATAAGAAAATTTTGCTTATAGGTTTGCTGTGAATATTAGAGACAATGACTGCAAAATGTCTTATATAGTGCCTGCTGCATAGTTGTTGTTGGCTGCTGTTGAGTTGGCCCTGACTCGAACCCATGCACAAACAATGCTGTCTAGTCTTATGCCATCCTCATGATTGGTTGTGGATTGGACTGTTGTGATCCATAGGGTTTTCATTAGCTGATTTCAGAAATACATTGTCAGCCCTTTCTTCCTAGTCTGTCTTAGTTTGGAAGCTTCAGTGAAACCTGTTCAGCATCACAGCAACATGCAAGCCTCCACTGACAGACAAGTGATGGCTGCACATGAGGTGCGTTGGCTGGGAATAGGTACCCACTAAATGGCATTATTTGATCATTGTGATTATCGTCATTATAATTATCATCACTTATGATGTCTAGGGCATCAAAGTCTAAGTGATCTTGAAGTGTGGAATATTAGCGAAAGGACATGGAGGATAAGCCAGTAAAATATTGTCAATTTAAGGCTGAGGAACTGCACCTTGAAGAGATGAAGGGAATTGCCTAAAATTGCCCAGCTGGCAACCCTGCTCCAGGTCTTTCTTCCAGTCCTCTCTTCTCTTCTCCTTTAGGTCTCATACTCTCATGGTAACTCAAAAAATTGGTGCAGAAACTTTCCTCATATCATGTCTTCACCTTCCCTCTCTCAGGGCATAACGAATGAATGTTTGTAACTTCTAAAGGTTTCTACCTAAATTAATCGAAACACATTCTGAGCTTTTCCTGGCTCTCAGTTCCAAAGTTTTACGTTAAAGACCAGAAATTGCATGGGGAATTTGGTCCCCCGATCACAGCATGTGGCTCAATTTATTTTAAACAGTTCAAGCACCTCCTTATTGAAAAACAATTCTTGGTCTTCTAGTGAGGGAGGAGGTTTTCTAAACTAAAAACCAGGATTCAAAATCACTGGTTAACTGCTTCATGTAGGTTTTTTTTTTCTCTATTTCTAAATAGTAGATCTAAAGTTTGACTATGGGACAAATTTCCTGAATCCTTCCCTTTGTAATTTATCCTCATCATCATAGCCTGTTCATTTTTTAAAAGATCACAGGGCTCATGAAATATTGTTGTGTGGAAGCAAGGTTTACACTGCTAATTGGTAATAACAATCACAAAATCAGTATCACCAGGAAGAAAGCCCTGTATCATGGAAACGCTTGTTTTGCCTCAGCAACTTGGCCAACAACTAGCTGTGTGACCTTGAGAAGTCAAACTTTCTGACCCTTAGTTGCTTCACCTGTTAACTGAGGAGGTTGAATTAATGATCTCCACATTTCCTTTCAGCTCTAATGTTTCTTCAGTTCAGTTTGGTGGCTTATCTGAGATGAAGTGGCTTAGCCCACTGGGGGCCTTTAGTGCAGATTAAGGAGCTGGGTGGAGGAGTCCTGTTTTGAAGAGAGTTTCTTGTGCCCCAGGTCAGATCCCTTCAGTTTCTTCAGCACAGGACTTCTCTCTGAAAGACCAGCTCTTACAATGGGGGAGAGCTCTTTGCTGAGCCTAAGTAGAAGAGCCTTCACATTCAATTCCTTGCTCTAAGGCTGAATGTTACCCAACAAGGTAGGTAATGTCACACCCAGAGGATTTCCCAGGTTGACTGAGTGAATGGAAAAGGCTCCCAATCACTGTGTGATCTAGGATGAGTCATTTACCCCTCTGAGCCCCAGTCTCTGCTTCTGTAAAAGGAGAGGACTGGACATACTGTGTCTTAAAGTCCCTTTCAGCGCTCACATTCTGGGATTCCACGTAGTAGTGGGCCCAAATGAGTTGCGGGAAAGAGGCACTTGTGGTGTGACTTTGAGCTGATAGCAGTAGGTCTTCCAGGCTCTCTATTATGTTATTATTTCGTCTTTGTCAAATTTCTCTCATTGGGGCTCTATGTTAGAGTAAAAAATTCTACCTGGTTAGGAACCCATACATCATTTCACTACCTAGTTTTTTACATACTTAAACTCTTTGCCATGGAGTGGATTCCAACTCATAGCAACCCTCTAGGACAGAGTAGAACTGACTCATGGCGTTTCCAAGGAGCAGCTGGTAGATTCGAACTGCCAGCCTTTTTGTTAGCAGCCAAACTCTTAACCACTGCGCCACCAGGGCTCCCTTTATTCCATGACCCTAGTGTGAGGTTTTATTTGGGAAGGTGCCGGATGAAGGAAGAGGTAATTTGTTACAACTGCCTTTATCTTGAACAAGGGGAAAAGAGAAAGTAGAGAGATATGTGAATAAATACCAGGAAGTTTGAGTTAATAATAGCTGTCATTTATTGAGAGCTTCTGTTACGTGTTTTATATAGTTTATCTCACATTTAATTCTTTCAACAACTATAAATTATTATCTGTTTCGAAAAAATAAGCAAACCAGTTCACAAGACACATGATATGTGGGTAGGAGAGCCAAGAGTTGGCTGCTGACTGCAACAATTGCCCTCTTAACCATGTCTCTAGCCTGATCTCTGAGGAGGGTGGAAGGGAACTCTGTCAGATGCCTTTGTTTTTGTTTTTCCTTAGTCCTTTTGAGCCCAAGGCCTCTAAAATTGTCCTCTCCTCTTAAGGCAGGTCACTTGCCCTTCTGGGATTCATCCCCTCCCTCCTTTCACAATGTTCCTATGAAATCATTTGATACGATTGTTTTAAATTCCCCTAATGGATATTTTGCATGTTTTTTAAAATATGCGTCATGTGGTCTTTTATGGTAAACTTCTCAACATAAGGACTTAGGTGTGATGTCTGTATACGTGTGTGTCTGTGTGTAAGAGATTTGGCATTTTATGTGAGAGTTGGAAAATTTATGTCAAAGTAACACTGGACAATACAGAGAACAAAAGATGTCTGCTGTGGAACATAATGATTTATGGGCCTCCTGGCCCCTACTCATGGAAAATAATCTATGAAGTAGACAGCATACCTCAATTGTAAAGCTGTAGCATATGTGGCTTTGACCCAGTGGAGTAAGAGTAAAATGTCTATTTGATCTACATTGTTCACAATTTTACATTTTAGGTGAGAATGAGTCTCACCTAGGTTATATGAGATCAACACAGGCTGGAAGAAAAATGTAGGCAGATAACTTTAAACAATCTGTTCTTTCTTATCAATCAGTTTATCATCAATGAAGATTCTACATATATATGCTGAGCACAAACTGTGAGGTGAACACTTAGGTGCTGTGGGGTTCAAAGAGTAACAAACTTAGACTCTGAAGACAGACTACATAAAATCATCATGAACAATAAACGGTTGTAAATAAACTGTGATGAGTTGTGTGTTCCAACTGTAGGTGATGGAAGAATTCTTTCATTTTTAATTCTATTTTATTAAAATTAAATTAATATTTATTGAGCACTTACTATGTACCTAGTTGTGAGGATACAGAGAAGAATAAGGTCAGCAGGGAAGACAGATACAAAAACAATTAATTATAATAAAATATGGTAAATACTCCAGTAGAAAGATGTAAAAAGTATGGAAGAAAGAATAAAAGTTAATTAGAAAGCCAAGGTGTGCACACTAGGTGGAGGGAACAGCATATACAAAGAACAACTTTGGGAGAATGATACATAAGTCAGGATGGCTGGAGTATAGGCTCCAGGAAGAGTGATGGCAAGTGAAGCTGGAAAGATGAACAAGGTCCAGTTCTTGGAGAGTCATATATGCCATGATAATGACACTGGACTTGTAGGCATTGAAAGAGCATTGATGGGTTTCAAGCCTATACATGAGTTGATCAGATTTGCATTTTAGAAGCATAACACTAACAATAGCTTATATTCATTGAGGGCTTACTATGAGCTGAACACTGTGTGCCTTGTTGCGTTTAACAGAGAGATCACTTAAACCAATTTCTAGAGTTGAGAGCAGAAGTAAATGAACTAGGGTTGAAGTAACCAGGAAAAACTTCCCAGATAATGGACATAGAGTGGGTAGGATTTGGAGAGGGAGACAGAAAGAGGCAGGCACACTAGGTAGTGTGAAATATACGAGGAATGCTCTTGTGGTGGGAATCAACTTGTATTTATGAGAGGTGAGGAGACCCCTGAGTAGAACTGAGATTATGTCTTGTTTATTGGCCAGTAAGGTTGATTCTCACCTCTTGCTGCCACAAATGCGTGCCAATGACCAGCAAACTGTAAAACAGAAATAGGCGAAAATGTGAGCCCCATATATTATATTTGAATCATTGTTTTATAGTGAGCTATACCCTGAACAACTTCCAGATAGCCATTTCACCTCAGGTGTTAACATTTCCCCAACATGTTTGTAAAAATTCATAAAGCTGTGGGATTAGTTAAAGCCATAGGACCCGAGAGAATTTAGAAACTTAAATAGTCGAAGTAAGGAAAATATCAAAGAGATTTGTTAGAAAGGGAGAAATATCAATGAGAATGGCATTCCTGAGGGAGAAATGGAGGAAACAAGGGATTCAGGGGCAGAAGATCACTTGAGAATTTTTAAGACAAAAACATGGCGAGAAAACATGGAGAATGGGAGAAACGATGGTAATCAATATCATAGTTATTAGTGTTGAGAATGGTGATTATTTTTTTTCAGTGTGGAGTACTGGAAATAACATGTGAATTGGAATACAGTGATCTGGCTGTATTCCTGGGTCCACTCCTTACTAGGAGGCTTGACTAATCCACAACCTCTTTGAGCTTCATTTTTCTTATTTGTAATATGGGGATCATGGAGTGTTTGTAAGGTTATTTGAATAGTGGCTTGTATAGAGTAGACTATTAAACAGCAAATGAATAAAAATTTACTACATGGCATATATATACATACATAAATAAACCAGTCAGACAATATGTGTGAGAGCGTTCTATAAACCACTAGGTGTTAAACAAACATGTGAGATTGGTTTAATGATTGCATTTGTTTTGTCCCAGGGTTCTTTTCTGAGATCCATCTTCTCTAAATGGAACTCATGGCCAGTACAAATAATGTGACTGAGTTAATTCTCACTGGCCTTTTCCAGGATCCAGAAATTCAGAGAGTGTGCTTTGTGGTGTTTCCTCCCATGTACCTGGCCACGGTGGGGGGGCAATGGCCTCATTGTGTTGACACTCAGTGTCAGCCAGAGTCTGCGTTCCCCCATGTACTTCTTCCTTAGCTACTTGTCCTTGGTAGAGATCAGTTATTCCTCCACTGTTTTCCCTAAGTTCATCGCAGACTTAATGACCAAGATTAAAACCATTTCCCTGGAGGGCTGTCTGGCTCAGATATTCTTCTTCCATTTCTTTGGGGTCACTGAGATACTTTTGCTTGTGGTGATGGCTTATGACCACTATGTAGCCATCTGCAAGCCTCTTCATTATGTGAACATCATCAGCCGTCAACTGTGTCATGTACTAGTGGCTGGTTCCTGGCTGGGCGGCTTTTTACACTCCATAATTCAGATTGTTCTCACCATCCCGTTGCCCTTCTGTGGCCCCAACGTAATTGACTACTACTTCTGTGACCTTCAACCATTATTCAAGCTTGCCTGCACTGACATCTTTGTGGAGGGGGTGACTGTATTGGCCAACAGTGGCTTAATTTCCTTGTGCTCCTTGCTCATCTTGTCCTCCTATATTGTCATCTTGGTCAACTTGAGGAATCATTCTGCAGAAGGGAGGTGCAAAGCCCTCTCTACGTGTGCCTCCCACATCACAGTGGTCATCTTGTTCTTTGGACCTGCCACGTTACTCTACATGCGGCGATCTTCTACTTTCACTGCAGATATACTAGTGGCTGTGTTCTACACAGCCATCACCCCCATGCTGAACCCCATCATCTACACACTCAGAAAAGCAGAGGTGAAAGTTGCTATCAGGAGGTTGTGGAGTAAGAAGAACTCAGGTGTGGAGTGAAAATGGGAAGTGATAAATAAAATGTATGTCTTATTATTCTATGTACTTGAAATGGATTTTGATTTTAGTAGGACATTCAAAATGGTTGAATCAATGTAAGAACTTAATGCTATTGTTGCTGTCATTTCTCTTAGTAACCAAAGAGTCCCTGCATCCTAATGTAATATATGAAGGCCAGAGGTCAGATTATCTCATTGAATCTTAGGAAAATTGATGGGCTCCATGATACTCACTAATATCATAGGACTGGGTAATATGAAAATTTAAACCAAATGCAAAGGTAAACATTTGTAAAAATGTTTTTGTAAGTTTAAATTCCTTTCTCCTTTGACCTTGGTCATTTTACATACTTAGTCATTGCCCTTATCACTTTAACTGTAATTATTTTATATGTGTTTCTCTCTCACTAGACTCAAGGGCATAACTGTCCCTTCTTCTTTGCCGGTCTAAATGTTGTGCACACAGTTGGTGCTTTACAAGTACTTGTTGAATAAACAGCCCTCTAGAGCCTGTGTGGCAACCCCTTCTATGTCAAATCTCACAGATTCTTTTTGAAATCTTTCATGGTGAGGAGCACATCTCTTCCTGTTAAAATTTTGAGAGCTTGGGCTCTGAAATTCATTAGGCTGTTTTGATTGCCTCTCAGTCACACTTAAGGTCCATGTCACTTCTTCGAACAACTGTTTTCTCCTAAATGTAATAAGATTAACAATAACATGAACTTCAGCAGATTGTTTTGGCTATGAATTATATACTACATATATAAAGCTTTTAGCAAAAAAACTAATACAAAGTTTTTTGCTCAATAAATATTAGCCACTTCACCATCACTATTAGTGCCAGTGTCATTATTTTTATTTTGTGTGATGACAGCCCAGTCCATACACTAGTCTCTTTTCGGCCCTGTAGAGCTACTCAGGATAGACCTCATCTTGATTTCATCCTAAAAGCTTTCAAGTATTTGGAGGAAGTTCAGTCCTTTTCTTTTCAGACTTCTCTGGGCTAAACATTATCTGTTGCTTAATTGCTTTTGAGCGCCTAGCACAATGCCTGGAACACTGTAGGTGCTCAATAAATATTTGTTAAATAAATGTGGACTGTAAGATAGTTTCCCTATTTTCTTTTCTGCTGAATATCCTTACATTTTGTTAATATGTATCGTAAAGTATTTGGTCCAGAACTAAATTCAGTGGAACTACCCTCTCTTTCTCTCAGTGCCTTGATTGTATTAAGGTGGGCTAGGACTTTAGGATTGTTGGTGCTTTTGACAGTACATGGTATATTTGACATTCTTTGCCAATACCATAATTCAAAGGTGTCAATTCTTATTTGGTCTTCCTTATTCATTGACCAGATTTTGCATGCATATGAGGCAATTGAAAACAGCATGGTTTGGGTCAGGCACATCTTAGTGTTCAAGCAAGACTGTGTGTCACATACTTTGGACATGTTATCAAGAAGGATTGGTCTCTGGAAAAGGACATCACTCTTGGTAAAGTGGAGCGCCAGTGAAAAAGAGGAAGACCTTCAACCAGATGGATTGACACAGTGGCTGCAACAATGGGCTCAAGCATAACAATGATTGTGAGGATGGCACAGGACCTGGCAGTGTTTCGTTTTGTTGTACACAGGGCCACTGTGAGTCGGAATTGACTAGGCGGCAACAATAACAACAGGACTTTAGGGTACAGACTGGGATGGGAGACCCTTACTGATGTGAAGCTTTGATTTCCTCACTGAGAGTTACTGAGAGTACATCATCAGGGAACTCTGAGTCGTTGAACATTGCATGGGCAGATAATATCTCCTTTAACTGAACTGTCAAAATTCTCAGGGATTATCTCACTTACTGAGGGCCGAGACTTGGTGGGTCTATGGAGAACTCATTACTCACTTTGTTCTGGTCTCCCTGAAAAAAACGCAGGAATCAAAGGAAAACCTTTTTTTAACTTGTTTAAAGAGGCAGAGAATTTTGTGACAATTTAAAAATGCCTACTCAATTCACAGAAGTAGAAATAGACTAATTATACCACTTAACATTGTTGAGCCCATATAGTTAGACCTTAATTGTTGATTCTGTTGCAACATATAACAAAATTAAATATATTTTTTAGATAATAAATATAATGTAATCTCTCTGTAGAAAAATTGGTAGAATGCCTTAGACTACTCTGCATATGTAATTTTGTATTCTTTTCCCATTTATTATTTGTATTTCTTTAGGAATAGTTTTGACTGTATATAACAAAAAAAAAAGCAACTTAATGAGGTAGAAGTATGGAAGTGGAGAGATTTAAAGAGATCCCATAATATTATCAGAAATACAGACTTTGTTATCTTCAGCATGTATCTTCAACCTCATGACCCCAAATGTCTGCTAGTACTCCACATCAGCCCTGTCCAGTAGAACATTATGAAATGATGGAGATGTTCTATATCTGTGCTGTCTAATATGGTGGTGACTACTGAGCACTTGAAATGTGGCTAGTATGACCAAAGAAGTGAATTTTAATTTAATTTCAATACACATAAATTTAAATAGTCACATGTGGTTAGTAGATGCCATATTGGACAACAGAGTTCTAGTATTTTATCTATATTCCAAGAGACAGGAAGGTGGGCGGTGAGGTAAATTGACCCCTCTGTCTTTTAAGGAGGTTTCTCAAAAGTGCCACGCAGCACTTTTGCTTTCATCTTACTGAATTGAACTTAATCACACTGTCATCCTGTTCCTCAAAGGAAAATCAAGGTTCTATTACAAAATTAAGTGGACCTGGATTCTGGGCCGACTGAAAATACCAGCTGTCTACTCTATTTCAACTTTTGGCTGCTCAGCAAATACCTAATCCCTCTGTCTATATCATTTGACTCATAGCGACCCTATAGGACAGAGTAGAACTGCCCCATAGGGTTTCCAAGGCTGTAAATCTTTATGGAAGCTGACTGCCACATCTTTCTCCCACAGAGTGCCTGGTGGGTTTGAACCACCGACCTTTCCTTTAGCGCTCATTGTTCCATGAACAATTCAAAGGGAGACAAACAAACCCTTTCTCTGCTCCTAATTTCAGCTAGGAGTTCAGGATCTCTCAGTGATCTCTTGGTGAGATTTAGATGTAGCTCCTTATGGTCTGGCAACTTATGACTAACTGATAAACTTAACTATTTTTAATCTACTCAATGTGAAATGGGAAGGATATAAAATAATAGTAATACAGCTTTAGTTTGGAAAAGGGGGGTGAAACAACATAAAATAGTTGTTTTTTTTAAAATATTGTATTGAATTTTTGGTGAAAGTTATACAGCCAAGTTAGGTTCTCATTTGACAACTTACGCGCAAATTGTTCAGTGACATTAGTTCCATTTATCACAATAGGTCAACATTCTCTTTGTGTTCTGTTAGTTCTATTTCCAGTACTCTGTTTCGCTGCCCCCTTATCTTCTCATCTTTGCTTTTGAATAATTGTTGACCTTTTGGTCTCATACAGATGGTTTTTAAGTACAGCACCAATCTTTATGGGTAAAGCCCTTTATTTTGTGTGAAACTCTGCTATTTCACTAAAAGGATCTCAGGGCGTAGGCTTGATTCTAGGTTGAAAGAATGTCTCAGGTCAATAGTCTCAAGAAGTCTTCTCTTCTCTACTGTTCCAGTTTGTCTGGCTTTTTTTTGTTTTAAATTTAAGTCTATTCCACATTTTTCTCCCATTCTATCCAGGACCATCTATTTTGAGCTTTGTCAAAATGGTCAGTGGTAGTAGCTGGGCACCATCTAGTTCTTCTGGTCTCAGGTAGTTGAGGTTGTGGCTCATGTAGACTTGTTTTTTTCCTGAGCTTTTGGTTATCTTCTTACTGTTTTGCTCCTGGTGAGTAGAGATAAGTAGTTGTGTCTTAGATGGCTGCTTGCAAGCTTTTAAGACCCCAGATGCTATTCACATCACTAGGATGCAGATCATGATTTTTGTGAACTATGTTATGCCAGTTGACTGAGTTGTCCCATGAGACTATGGTCCTAAGATTTCAACCCCGAAAACCAATCTTGGAAGGAGTTTGGTTATGTCTGAGGAATATCTGTATTTGTGTCTTCAATGAATGTATGCGCCTGCACCCACATATTGGTATTTATGCATATCTATAGATACTTCTATCTGTTTTCACCTATGTACACACCTGTACCTACCCATATACCAATATGCCTATATCCATTCATATATGCTCAAACACTCATTTTTACTTTGGTTGTGCTGTGTTCACTACATCTACATTTGGTGCCACTTTTCCAATCACCAAAACTAATAAGACTCCAGGATCTAAAGCATACTTTCCCCTTCCCCCTCCTGTCTCTGGTAACCACCAATGAACATGTTATGGATTGAATTGTGTGCCCCAAAAGGTTTATCAACTTGACTAGACCATGTTCTCAGTATCCTGTGGTTGTCCACCATTTTATGATCTGATGTGATTATCCTATGTGTTGTAAATCCTAACCTCTATGATGTTAATGAGGCAGAATTAGAGGTAATTATGTTAATCAAGGCAGGACTCAATCTACAGGATTAGGTTGTATCTTGAGTCAATCTCTTTTGAGATATAAAAGAGAAAATCAAGCAGAGGACAGAGGGATCTCATTACCATCAAGAAGAAGCATCAGGAGTGGAGCATGTCCTTTGAACTCGGGGTCCCTGAGCTGAGAAGCTCCTATAGCAGGGGAATATTGATGACAAGAACCTTCCCCCAGAGCCAATAGAGAGAGAAAGCCTTCCCTTGAAGCTGGCTCCCTGTATTCGAACTTCTAGCCCCCTAGACTGTGAGAGAATACATTTCTGTTTGTTAAAACCATCTACTTGTGGTATTTCTGTTATAGCAGCACTAGTTAACTAAGACAATTGGTCTGTCTATATATCTAGTCTTGTCTTATAAAAGAGGGCTCATACAATATTTGTCCTTATATGCTTGACTTATTTAACTTAGCATTGTGCCCTCTGGGTCCTTCCATGTCATAATTT